AAATTTGAGTGAGAAATGTGGCTATTTTGCAAAGCTTATTAATGTCTACCTTAGTGGAAGACAACTGGATTCTCCCATCTGCGTCTGCACTCAATCTGTTGTATGCTGTCAAATTAGTGCCAACTCATAGTGTCCCTGTATAGGGTGTCCATGGCAGTAAATCTTTATGGGAGCAAAAAAAAAGTCTCCTCTGTCTCCTGAACAGTGACTGGTAGATTCAAACTGCTGCTGACCTTGCAGTTAGCAATCTAACGCATAACCACTATGCCACTAGAACTCCTAATTTGTTGTGATTGTATCATCTGTAATGTACATTATGTAATTAAAGAATATGGTATGGAGAGACTGAAACCCTCATACACTGCTGGTGGGATTGTACAATTGTATGACCACTGTGGAAAACAGTACATTACTTTCGTAAAATGTTAGAAATAGAAATCCCGTTCCTAGGTGTATATCCTAGAGAAATCAGAGCAGTGACACTAGATACATGAACACACATGTTCATTGCAGCACTCTTCACAATAGCAAAAAGTTAGAAACAAATGCCCATAAACTGAAGAATAAATAAACAAACTATGGTACATACACAAAATGGAATACTGCCCAATGTTAAAGAGTAGTAATGAATTTGCAAAACACCTTATAACACATGCAGGACACTATGCTGAATAAAAGCAGTCAATCACAAAAGGACAAATATTGTAGGAGACCACTATTAATATTAAGTCAAGAAAAGGTTTTCACACACAAAAAAAAACATCTTTCATGGTTACCAGGGTGTAGAGGAGAAGGGAGGATAAATAGAGGGTAGACACATACAGGCAATATACAGCAAGGGGGATATCGGCAAGAAATGATTAAAGCAAAGAAAGACACTGGGAGAAGTATAAGAATTACAGGCAATAGAGGTTGTTGTTGTTGTTGTTAAGTGCCATAGAGTCGGTTCTAACTCACAGCGACCCTGTATAGTGTTTCCAAGGAACAGCTGGTGAGTTTGAACCACAGACCTTACAGTCCAGTGCATTATTCTACAATGCCATACCAGGCAATAGAGGTAAATACTATTATATATACAATCCTACAAGAACAGTAGTAACAATAATCTATGAGTTGATATATAGACACACAAACTGGACAGTTGTAGGAAGAAGAATGGGATTATACCCACAGATACATATAGGTTTGACAGAGGATATTTCTACTATTTTAAATATGCTGCAAATATATCCATGAATATAGTAGAGGATGTAGGGACAAAGTTATGAACATTTGTTAGCTATAGAATGCCTTGAGAGAATGAGTTGCTGGGGCTCACTCAATTGGCACAACATAGCCCACAAAGAAAATGATCTTCACCCTACTTTGATGTGTAGCAACTAGGGTCTTAAAAAGCTCTTAAACAGACATCTAAGTAGCAACACTTGTTCTCTCCCAGTCCAGAGCAAAGAAGAGTAAAAAATGTTTAAGACACATAGAAACAATTAGTCCAAAGAACTAAGGGACCATATGAACATCTTCCGCGACCCTGAAACCAGAAGAACTAAATGGTGCCTGGCTACCACTACCAACTGCTCTGAAAGGGATCACATTACAAGATACTGAATAAAGTAGGAGAGACATGTGGAACAAAACTAAAAACTAAATAAGACTGGGCTTATTGGTAAGATAAAGAATGATGGAACTCCTCAGACTGTGGTTCTTAATCACCATTTAGGCCTAGAATGGAAATCATCCTCCAGGCTCAATTTTAAGCCAGATAATAGGTCTGAACAGTAAACTGAGTCCTGGTGTGGCTTTGTAGGAAAAGCACAGGACTGCTAACCATAAGGTCAGCAGTTTAAACCCACCAGCCAGTCCTTGGAAACCCTATATAGGGCCGCTATTAGTTGGGACCCATTTGACAGCACTTAACAACAAACAGTGAACGATAACACTAGGTTTGTATGCACTCTGTAGAAAATCAACTATTTGAGATCAAAAGAGCAGTATTTGCTCAAGGACAAAGTTCAGAAGGCAGACAAGAATAGGAAAGAAGGAGGAATGGAAACAGGAGACATAAGGTAGAAGTTGTTGTTGTTGATAAGTGTCATTGAGTAGGTTCCAACTCATAGTGACCCTGTATAAGGTTTCTGAGGAGTAGCTGGTGAGCTTGAACTGCCGACCTTGTGGCTCAAACTGACCTTGCAGTCCAGTGCATAATGGGATGGGTGATATTACATTATGGGGTTTGCAATCAATGACATAAAACAACATATTATTAATTGTTGAGTGGAAAACTGAATTGCTCTGTAAACCTTCACCCAATTCACAATAAACAGTTTTTTGTGTTTTTTTAAATCACTAGTCAATCCATTACCTAGGAAACTGAAGGAAAGCTCCATGGCGCACAGTTCTAGCCTGACACTCATGGAGTTGTCATGAGTTGGAGTGAACTAGATAGCAACAGATTTTCAAATGTTGTAAAAGCAAAAGCACAAATAAAAACAACACAAGAGCAAACAAAAACAAAAGAAAATTAATATTGGCAATAATTTGGAGAAATTAGAACCCTTATCCATTGCTGGTGAGAATGCAAAATGCTACAGCTACTGGAGAAAATAGTGTGGTAGTTCCTCAAACTACTAAAAATAGGACTACTATGATGCTGTGCCAGGGAGTCGGTTCCAACTCATAGCAACCCTGCATAGAGTTTCCGAAGCTGTAAATCTTAAAGGGAGCAGAATGTCTAAGCTTTCTCCCACAGAATGTCTGGTAGTTTTTGAACTGTTGACCTTGACGTTAGCAGCCCGACTCATACCCACTATGTTACCCAGTAATTCTAGCCCTAGCTATATTCACAAAATACTTGAGAGCAGAGACTCAAAAAGAGACTTTTATACCAATATTCACGGTAGCACTATTGACAATAGCCAAGAGGTGGAGACATCCTAAATGCCCATCAGCAGATGAATGGATAAACAAAATATGGCACACACATACAAAGGAATACTACTCAGCCAGTGGGAGAAATGAAGACTTGATACATTTTAACGTAGAGATGGAGCTGGAAAACATTATGCTGAGTTAAATAAGTCATTTACAAAAGGATGAGTATTGCATGCCCTTACATAAAAAGATGGAAAAAGCAAATGGATACAGAATAAAGTTTATTAGTTGTTTCCAGTGGTGGGATGGTAGGGGATAGGGTTAAGGGTGATGGGAAAATCACATTGATTAAGGGTACAGTTGACTATTGTAATTACTGCCAATAACTGGACACCTGTAAAATATTTAATTGGAAAAAGTAATATACTAGATATATTTACAACAATGACAATTTTTTTTTTAACGAATAGCTGTTGAGGCTGCTTATATACAACCAAATACCTCATGGGATTTGGTTCCTGGTTTGGAGGTTTAGGGTCATGGTTTCAAGGGACAGCCTAGTTAATTGATCTAGCAACATGTTTAGCACTTCTGTTTTATCTTCTAGTTCATTGCATAGTGCCTGAGATCTTAAAATCCTGCAAGCAATGATGGAAGGAACAACAATTGGTCTCTATATACCTGGAAGAATAGAGGAAGAAGGTGAGTCATAGGAGTTGGACATAGAATGTGTGGCTAATTGCCTCCGTGAAAAACTGCCTCCTTTACTATGAGATAAGAGGAATCGAATACTGAACATTTTGATGAGCGATTCCATAGAACAATTCTGATCAAAAGGAGGGAAACGCAGAACAGAATTTCAATTTCTTATAGACTTTAGACTTTCTAGAGCCATGAAATAGATGAATCTCGGAAATTATTGCCCTGAGTTAATTTTTAAATCTTGAATGAAAAATGTTGAAAGCATTAAACAATATCATTAAGATTATACATAAGTAAAATTTTACTGAAGATAATTCAAAAATGGTTGCAACAATACATAAACAAGAAGCTGCCAGAAATTCAAGCTGGATTCATAAAATGATACGGAATGAGGAATATCATCGCTAATACAAGCAAATTGAAGTCTTTGACAACTTCAATCTTTTCCCCATTTATCATGATGTAATTTATTGGTCCAGTTGTGAGGATTTATGTTTCCGTTACATTGAAGTACAATCCATACTGAAGGCTGCAGTCTTTCATCTTTCTTAATAAGTATTTCACGTCCTCTTTGCTTCCAGAAAGCAAGGTTGTGTCATCTGCATATCACAGGTTGTTACTGAGTTTTACTCCAATCCTAAATCACATTTTCTTCATATTTTCCAGCCTCTTGGATTATTTGTTCAGTATACAGATTGATTGAATATGGTGAAAGGATACCGCCCTGAGTCTCACCTTTCCTGATTTTAAACCATTCAGTATCTTTTGTTCTGTTTGAATGATTGCCTGTTGGTCTATATACAGTTTTTTAATGAACACAATAAAGTGTTCTGGAATACCCAATCTTCCCAATGTTATCCAAAGTTTGTTATGATCCACATAGTCGAATGGCTTTGCATAGTCTATGATTTTAAAGTAAAGATGAAATTTACCCTACAACTTGTCTAATATGCTAAATTTTTATGAGCAAGCCAGTTTCTAAATATTATTAAGGCAGGGAGGAAACTAAATGAACAAGAAGCTCCAAGTATTAAATTTGCTTATGAAGAATAAAGCCAAGGGTAATAAGAAGTTCAGCAGGGACCTATTATTTTTTCTTTAAAAGCTAATCCGTACTATTTTATTTTGAACCATATACATGCATTATCTTAATTAAAAATTAAAATATTTAAAAATAAAAATCAGTTGATTTTGGACTTGCCGAACTCAAAGGAGCCTGTGGTGTGTTTGACCACATAGAGTTGCATTCAGTTCTCTTTTCAAATTTAGGTTTGTGCCTGGAACCCTGATTACCAGTGAGTTGTTTAACCAAAGCCAGGATGACCAATAAACAGAACTTTGAACCTTTACAAAGCAGTTTCAAAGGACCAGGGCTGCTACGGACTGGTGCCTAAAGGAAGCCACAGAGAACTGATCTTCATGGGGATCTGTGGACAACAGAACTCCTTCTCTGACGTGCTTTTTTCCTCCTTGTCCTGTGGAGATGAAAATTGACATCCATAGTCATATTTTACCAAGAGAATGGCCAGATCTAAAAAAGGTAATGGTGATTTATTTTCTGAATTATTCATAGACTTATCTGTTTTTAAAAAAAGAAAACTCTTCTGTTAAAGACCTTTCTCTTCTTTTTGGAATTTGATGCTATATTTCTCAACTTTGAAAGCAATTTAAAATTATCTGATAGCGCTGATCTTCCCAGTTTTAAAAAGTGACTTTTATATTTATTTAGAAAGCATGTTGGATCAAAGAAATATGTTCTCAAAATCCCATTTCCTCCTCAAATGAAAGTCTTTGAAATTTCTGGATAATTTAAGTCAGGAAGTTCGACTTCCATTTTAATCACATCTTCAGCTGCTGGGAAGATATGTGCCAGCTACAGAATGTAAAGTTGCAATTTCAAGTAAGAAACTATAACAAAATGGAATGTGATAGGTTTCTGGGACATCTAATACATATCTCTTTTCCAAAATGTTTAAAATAAGTTTTAAACGCACTAAAAGATAGCATTGTGAATTTTCTTAAAAGTCTGTTTTAGGACACTGTCTGAAACTGTTCCTTTTTGATGCTTTTTAAGCTGTAAATTCTTGTTATGAACAACTAGGGAGTTGTCATGTGCTGTGGAGTCGCTTCCGACTCGTAGAGACCCTGTATTGGGTTTCTGAGGAGTGACTAGTGGATTTGAATCATTGACCATGCGGTTAGCAATCTAATGCTTATCCTGCAACACCATGGAGTTTCTGCACAATGTGGCTCTCTAAAAAGTATTCTTTGTTTTTCTAAAGATGGAAATTTCCTTTTGTCATTAAGAATTTTTTCATGAATCCAAAAATAGGAAGCTGGGGAATATAAAAAAAAAACTAATAATGGTTTAAGGTTTATTTGCTTAATTGATAGGTTTTATCCAGTCTTCAAATCTTATACTACAACTTTCACGCCACCGATCATTTCCATCTTTTTCTAACCCACATAAGGAAAATGAATTAGCCCAAACTCTAAGGTGTGGTTCATTGTACAAGTTGTTGCTGTTGTTAAGTGTCATCAAGTAGGTTCTGACTCACAGCAACCCTGTATAGAGTTTCCAAGGAGCAGCTGGTGAGTTTAAACTGCCGACCTTGAGGTTCAAACGGATCTCAAGGTAGAGTGCTTATCCTATGGCACCACACCAGGACTGTACAGGTAGAGGAATCAAATTTCTTCTCTAGGTGCCATCTGGAAGAGTGTCCAAGTTTTGTCTTTTCCTGGTATGTTAGATAATATGGGTGGTAGACACTCTAGATTGAAAGATACAATATTTGGACCCATGTTTGAAAGGCTTTCCTATTCCAGCTAATGGTAAAACTAAAATGATCAAACTAATACCCCCCAAAACCGACTAAATGTCCAGATGAGAACTTGCTGTTCTGAATGCCATTAACCTGATCATATTTTATTGAAGTGTAAACAATTTTATTAAAGTGTAAAAAAGATGTCAATGATTTCATGAAAGAAATGCACCAGAAGCTTTTAACTCGTTACTTCATGCCAGTATGTTTGGCTTGTTTGGAAGCTACCTGCTCTTTCTTACTTCTTATGCTGTTCATAATCTGTGATTGTTCAGCCCATGATTGAGTGTATGAATGAATGAATTTATAATGCAGATAAAGGAAGGAAGAGGTTATATTCCCTAATCTGACAATTTTCAATCTAGATTTTAGGATATGGTATATTATAATAAGGAGTACAGTGGCTCTAGAGGATAAGCACTGGACTGCAAACCACAAGGTTGGCGGTTCAAGCCCACCAGCCACTCCACAGGAGAAAAATGATGCTTTCTGCTCCCACAAAGATTTACAACCTTGGAACCCCTATACAGGGTAACTGAGTCGGAACTGACTCAATGGCACTTAACAACAACAGTGTTACAGTAGGTCAAAATATTATTTCAAAACATCAGTCTTTTCTCACCACTTTTTATTCAAATCGCCTAATAAAAGAATTAAAGGAATAAACCAGCACTGCTTCTATTTTAGAAGATAAAACTGCGTTGCCAGTAGTGTCTGCTCCCTCTCCTGTGTGATAACCCCAACTAGCTCTAAGTCCAAAACCTCCCTTCCCTTATAAAATATTAATCAACACAACCCTGTGACCTTGACTTCCATGCCCTTGTGAAGTGAAGAGTCAACATGCCTGGGTTGATGATTACCAGAGGGTGGCAAAGCACTGGAATTTGAGAAACAGAATTCTCTTCTTATTTTCTCTTGCTAATCATGATTTTTATCAAAGTTGCAGTTAGGATCTTTGAAAATGAAAGTCTATCTAACGTGGAAAGAGAGTGAATTTCGGGAACGCCTGATTAAATGGTTTCTGCTGTCACAAATATGATCGTGGCCCAAGGAGCCATGGTAAAAGTTGATTCACACAAGATGATTTATCACAATGATGAAAATGAGGCTCCTGGATTTCTTTCTTCAGCAAAGGTCACTTGCCACCTACTATGAGTCCAATAGTTAGGGCTTGTAGAGAACCTTCTAATTTTGTTGTTGTTAAGTGCCATCGACTTAATTCCAACCCATAGTGACCCTGTACGGGATTTCCAAGGAGTGACTCATGAGTTTGAACCACGACCTTGTGGTTCATACCAACTCTGCAGTCCAGCACATTAACCTACAGTGCCACACCAGGATGCTTCTAATTTTAGATGGGATGAAATAGTTTGAATTTAAATTAAATTTATATATTTTCTTTCAACAATTATTTAATTATCCTTCATCACTGTATTTTTGTTGTTGTTGTTGTCAAGTGCCATCAAGTCGATTCTGACCCATAGCGACCCTGTATAGGGTTTCCAAGGAACAGCTGGTGAGCTTGAACCACCGATCGTGCAGTTCAAATGGCTTTGCAGTCTGACGCATTAACCCACAGTGCCACACAACATTCTAGATGCAGTGTAGCTTTTAAACAACCTCCCTCCAAGGAAACATACTTCGCTTTATCACCTAGAAGCGTCATTTTTCCCCTCATGAAAGTGTGAGCTCCCCAAGACATTAAAAATGTAATTCATTTCGTCAGTTGCTACTGTATAAATACCCATTTCAGAAACATATCCCTGTATAAAAGATTGAATTCTCTTAAAATTGTGTACGTATTATGCCCATAAATGCCTAGAGAGCATTGGTCATTGTCAGTTCCACTTTCTAGTGTAAATGCCTGAGTAATGCTTTAGCCAGAAATACTCATAGGATCATAAATTTCAGACCCTATGTTTAGCCCAACCTACGAAGAGAGCTGGGGGACTGCATGGAACCCAGGTTTGTAGCAGAATGAGGTTTCCACAAATAGACACATTAAGCTTTCTAGTAAAGGAAAAGGATGAACACAGAGTTGCAAGGGATGCTCTCCTTAATGCTTGAACCCAGAGCCTGCCTTATTCCACCTGTTCTTGTTCTTAAATGCTCTCAAGTCAGTTCTGACTCATAGCAACGCTGTATAGGATTTCCAAGGAACATCTGGTAAGTTTGAACCACCTAACACTCTAATTCAAATCGACCTTGCATTCAGTGCCTATTCCACAATATGTTGCTACCACCGCTGCTATTGCTACCACCACCACCATCTTCATCATCATCATTACCACCATAGTCATCACCATCTACAATCACCACCACCTCTTCACCATCTACCATCACCACCACCGTCACCACCATCTACCATCACCACCACCGTCACCACCATCTACCATCACTCACCACCACCATCATCACCATCTACCATCACCACCACCGTCACCACCACCGTCATCACCATCTACCATCACCACCACTGTCATCACCATCTACCATCACCACCACCGTCATCACCATCTACCGTCACCACCACCGTCATCACCATCTACCGTCACCACCACCGTCATCACCATCTACCATCACCACCACCGTCATCACCATCTACCATCACCACCACCTCTTCACCATCTACCATCACCACCACCTCTTCACCATCTACCATCACCACCACCATCATCACCATCTACCATCACTACCACCTCTTCACCATCTACCATCACCACCACCATCATCACCCCACTCTCCTCACCATCTACCATCACCATCACCCTCACCACCATCTATCATCACCACCACCATCATCACCATCTACCATCACCACCACCGTCACCACCATCTACCATCACCACCACCCTCTTCACCATCACTATCACCACTGATGTAACTGCCCCTACCACCATCTTTACTACCACCACTACCACCATCGTCACTACTACAACCATTACCACTTCCGTTTTATCACCACCACTGCCAACACTATCACCATCAACTCACCATCACTACCACTAACATCACCACCACTACCATCAACACTCCAACACCACCATCAACATCATAATCCCTGTTGGCATTAATGAAGCGCTGTATAAAATCCAGCCCAGGGCCAGTAGCTTTATAGGCATTATCTAAGATAATTCCCATAAAATCTATGTCAAAGCTACTTCTGTTAGCACAATTTGCACATAAAAAAAATCCATGACTTGGACTCAGGAAGCATCAAGATCCACTGGCATAATGTAATCCACAAATACAATGTACTATATCCTTCTTTGGAAGTAGCAACTAGGGTCTTAAAAGTTTGCAAGCAACCATCTAAGATTCAAAATTAGTGTCTCCCCTTCTGGAGCAAACAAGAGTGAAGAAAATCAAAGACTTGAGGAAACATTTAATCCAAAGGATTAATGAACCACCCGAACCACAGTCCCCCCTATCCTGAGACCAGAAGAACTAGGTGGGTGCCTGGTTCCCATTGCTGATCACTCTGATCATGATCACAATAGAAGACCATGGACAGAGAAGGAGAAAGAAAAGATAGAACAAAATTTTAAATCATAAAATAATAACAACAACAGAAAAGGCTTGTTGGTCTGAGTCAGGTTGGTAGAACCTCAGAGACTGTAGCCTTTTGGCATTCTTCATACTGGGAACTGAACCCACTCCCTGAGGATCACCTTTCAGTCCAACAGTAGACAGGTCTATAACGTGAACAGCAAGGTCA